CAGAATAAAGCATCACCAAAGCAGAAAACACAGATGTATGAACAATACACAGCGGCTGATTTGGGTCACTTAGCATGCTCCTCAGGTGGTGCATCAAAGCTGTGATTGTGATTAATTAAGGTTGATAATTAATTAAGGTAATGATGTACATTTACTCATGTACTTGAGTATTTACATTTGCTGCTAATGTCTACGGCTACTCCACTACATTTCTTCCTTCAAGATATATTAAACTTTTTACTTCATTACATCTATATGAGTAGTTAGTTTGCAGATTCAGAATATTTATACAAAACATGATCAACCAATACATCTACCCAGCAGTGTAAAAAGTAGTTAAAATAAGCCCCAGCTGCAACATTATGTATGCTCAGTGATCAGTAATTATAATCTAATATTATACTATTCTGAAATGGGTCATTCTGCATAATGAGTGCATAATGAATGCAGGACTTTTATTGGCAACAGAGTGTTTCCACACTGTGGTATTATTACTTTTACTTGAGTGGAAGATCTGAGTACTTACTCCATCACTGGATGCAACCGTTTTTTTAACCTATGCCCAGGAACAATAATGGTAACATTAATAATAACCCATTATGATGCCATCCTTAACTGTGTCTCCCCTCTGGATCTTCTCTGCTTCAGCTGCTCATTTGGCTCCTCTGTTCCATTCTCACACAGTTTATCAGGACGTTACTTGAAGTACAATACTTGAGATAAAAATAAATAAAATGACGGTACAAAATAAAACGTCTTTGTTGCAGTAACGAGATTAAATGTAATTCATTACTTCCGCCCTGTGGCTTTTTAAACCAGTCACAGGAGCCACTGTGGAAACATGGCCCACAGTCTCTCTCTCTCAGTCTTTCTCTCCCTGTAAAATTAACAATAAACCCGAGTCCATAAGAGCCATTCCCTCCATGCCATGATATACACCTCGCAGATGTTCACCTTGGCCAGGGGTTTTATTGTGATCTGTATATGTGTGTGTGTATGTGCGTCAGCTTTATGTGTGTTGCCCTTTGTTCAGCTCTTATTTTACCACACGTATACGCTGGGCCTCCCATCAAGTTAAATTTATTTGAGTGAGAGCCGTGGTGATATCGTATGACTTCTCTTCCAAGCGCTGCCGACACCTCGGTCAACTAGTTTAAAGCAGCACCTCTGAAGAACCTCCCGGGGCCCTTGTCCTCACTCAAGCCCTTTTATAGCAGAGCAAGACTTTGTGTGTGTCCTGCCTGAACGTAGGTGAGTGGACGTTTGAAAGAGATGATAGTGTGTGTGCGAACGTGGTGATTAAATGAAGGGCGGAAGAGAGGCAGAGAGCACATGATTGCATGAGTGTGTCATACGTTTCTATGGTTAGGCTTTGAGGCAAGAATGAACTCTCGACCGACTGTCTGCCACACACAGGGTCACCCACAGTTCAAAGATTGTTTTGCCTGCGCAGCTAAAACCTCGAAAAAGTCCAGTTGGTTGGAATGAATGTCTGATTTGAAATTTCAGCATCTGGATTAGTTTCCTGCTCATTTAGAATATTGTCTGCCTCTGGTTGAGGGATTTTACGCTTTTTAGATCAATGGAAATTACATGACCCTAAATGGATTCTCTGGGTTTTGTTTAAATTTCGATCAAAAGCGAGCAAACCTAACATTACATTTGACCATCTCTGGCCTCGACTCAACACACACTGCAGTCATTTTTTCGCTCCACTGTCGCTTTTGTTTAGTCTCGTCCAATTCCAAGTTACGTTCCTCGCTTCTTTCTTTTGTCTGTCTGAAAAACTTAATGTGTGTGTGTGTGTGTGTGTGTGTGTGTGTGTGTCTGTGTGTGTGTGTGTGTGTGTGTGTGTGTGTGTGTGTGTGTGTGTGTGTGTGTGTGTGTGTGTGTGTGTGTGTGTGTGTGTGTGTGTGTGGTTGGCTCGGCCTCCTTATTGTTCAGCGGCTCATATTGTATGCAGCAGCTCTCGCTCTCTTAAACGCAACCCCAGCGGCTTTTCAAGTATGCAGTGGTTGTTCAAAAAAAAAAAAGGAAAAAGGAAAAGGCCTGCACGCCACTCGGCTGTGAATGTCAGCGGACAGGAGAAGACAAGAGGAGACTCCAAAGTCAGACAAGATGGAATCCATTGATTCGAGTTCTCACTGTAGAGATAATGAAAGATGGGGGAGGAGGAGAGAGAATAGTTGGCTGTTGGCCTACTAGAAGGATCTGTAAACAGTACAGCAGATTAGTCTCCCTTGAATACCCTTTGAGGAGCCATGCATATGTGTTTTTGCTTCCATTCATCTGTCCTCCTACTTCCTGTACAAGCATATGCACTTGCATAGGGTTGTGGTGCATAGGATGCGTTTCTGGCAAGCTGTCGGCTAACCAGCAGAGCGAGGCGAAGCAGGCAGCGAGCGAAGCCTTGAATCCCGTCCACCTTTTTGAACCCGGGCTCCAAGAACAACATCTCTCGCCCGCCGCTTTCCATACATTAATCACAAAGATGTTCAGCTTAATTTCTCTTCCAGTATGAACCCTCTGAGGTGGCCCCCGCAATTCACGGGACAGACGTACGGTATGGATATTGCTGCCTTCTCTGCTGGCCAAAGACTTGTCACTGATATAAGATGTGTAACTCTAACAGTTGGATCAGTTCTGCCTTGCTCTAGTTCCAGTGTCTGTGTTACATCTAAATCAAGTCGTATCTAATATATCGGATTTATTTTTCGCCACCTCGGTGTTGAGAGGAGGCCGAGACTGCGGCGTCTGCGCTGAAACAAGAAGCACATGTCTGCTGAAAGCTTGTGTGTGTGTTCTCAGTGCATTTTTAAGGAGGGTTGACTGTATGCATGCATGCATGTAGTATGACCCTCTTGATCTCATCCAGGCGCTGCTGGAGATCAGAGGATTATACGTCTTTGAGAGATTTACTGGTCATGCCAGGTAAAGTGTGTGTGTGTGTGTGGGTGTGTGTGGGTGTGTGTGTTATGTGTGTTATGTGTGTTATGTGTGTGTTATGTGTGCATCTGCTATAAATCTGCGGCTGATCGTGTGTGAGCAGGAGAAGAGCCATGGCCTCAGTGTATAGGATAATAATTGGATGATTTACATTTTTTTTTTGTGCTGTGTTTTTTCCACGCCTGCCCGAGCCAAGACAGCAGTGGGAGGGGATGGAACTTCTGACATCAAAACAATGTATCTGTTACAACGAGGAGCAATAAATCTCAACTCTCAGACCCTCTCCCTCTTTCCTCACCGTCCTCTCCACTCTCTCACTCCATCCTTCTTTTGTCTCCCTGTGTCCGTCCTCGTCTCTTCATCTCCTCTTCCTCTGCCTCTTTCGCTCCTCGTACAAGCCCTCATTTGTTGGAAATCATTTATGAGGCCCATCAGGAATCTTAGTGAGTGGGAAGGTCATTTACAATACAGTCCACAGTTTCGCTCACTGGATGTGACATCCCTCAATGTTTACATGTCCTGTCTGTCATTCAGTTCATCGGGAGTACCTATTGAGCATGTGAAAACAGTGGCTCAAGAGGAGCTCATCATCAGGGTTATCTTTGCTTGTGAAAGGAGAAGTCAGTAACAGAAAGCCTGCTTTACAAACTGAAGTTGTGAAGTTTGAAAGATGAGTGTCTGCATGACCTGGAAGAGAGGGTCTAATGAAAATATGCCATTGGTTGCACTGTGGGAAATGTAGGATGCAGTGTTTTTGGGGCTTGACCCATACTAGGGACTGAAAGTCAGGGAATCAACTCATTTTGACCATTTGGTCTTTAATTACTAAATCCTGTTAATAATACACATATGATAATATTGTGTAAATAATCAAGCACCTCTTAAATTATTTTATTTCCATTCCTGCTCTGTGATTGACTCCAACATGGTAGGTGACTATGGGTTTCAATTGAGTCAAATTCATTTGCCAAAAGAGAAACAACAACATACAATAAAAGTTAGAAATGAATTTGACTGATAAAATTTTTTCTATCGATAAAACAATACTGTTATTGTGAATTCTTTTGACCATAATAATCAAGTAGTGAAAATAATCTGATATTGTGACAGCCCTAGAATGAATGTAACACATTTGATGAGTAACAGTTTGAGTCATTTTAGAAGCCAAACTAGTTCCTGCCCTTCAAATGAGAAGACTTTCTTTTTTTTTTTAATTATTGTCAACTTTTGGTTTTAGACTGTTGGTAAAAAAACAAACAAGCGAACTGAAGATGTTACCTTCATCTGTGGGATATTGTGATGGGCATTACATAACAATTTGTTGTTTTGTGGACAAAATTATTATTCTGAAAATTAACAAACTGATAATCTGATTATCTGATTTGTTGTTGCCTTAAGATAAATAATAATTAAAATGTTTGTTGATTAGTGAAATGAAGGTTTCTCATGTTGGAGCAACATAGGTTTTTATTTATAATATTTTGGGAATTGTATGCCGTATGAAAGTGGAGAGAGACACGGTGAAAGGTCCATGGCTGGACAAGAAATGGGAACATAGTCGTTTATGATTGGCCATCAGGACACCGCAGCATATCTTTTTATGAATACTTTATGAATACAGTCTTTGTGTGGGACAACAAAAGCTTGTAAATTATATAACAGGATGTAAAGATGCTTTAAGGTGTTAATGAAATTTTTTTTTATATTGATATTGATATATGATATTTTTTCCTAAGTGCTGTACAGTCTTCACAAACTGTAGCAAGTAGTAAAGTCTTCCTCCTCTTGAAAATATGTTTTTTCTGCTGGTTTCTAGTTACAGTTGAATGTTTTAGCTTCACTGTACAGGACTTTAAGGATTTATTGTGTGGACTCTACACAGAAAAAACATATCAGACACATATATTGTTCCAAGCAGACTATATATATGTATGTGTCTATATATGTCTTAATACATGTATTGAGGGGAACTTTAATTAACATTACAGTATGCTGCTGTTACCCCCTCATGTTTGACTTTGCTCTGAATCTGTACTTCCTCCCTCCTCCTCCAGGTTTGTCACACGCTTCATCGAGCTCGATGGCCTCACCTGCCTCCTCAACTTCCTGCGCAGCATGGACTACGAGACGTCAGAGAGCCGCGTCCACACCTCCGTCATTGGCTGCATCAAAGCCCTGATGAACAACTCCCAGGGCCGCGCGCACGTCCTGGCCCACCCGCAGAGCATCAACACCATTTCACAGAGCCTGCGGACGGAGAACATCAAGACTAAAGTGGCGGTGCTGGAAATTCTCGGGGCGGTGTGCCTGGTGCCTGACGGACACAAGAAGGTGCTGCAGGCCATGGCACACTACCAAAAGTACGCTGCTGAGCGGACTCGCTTTCAGGTGAGGGGAAACTGACGTGAACTTTGTCAGAAATGTAGAGGTGCAAACAGCTGTCATGTTACATGAATTGTGGTCGTGTCTCAAACATAAGGGAGCCTTTGCTGGAGTCATGAGGCAGACAGAGATTATGGGAAAAGGCAGACAAAATATTTCAGAGTAATGCTCAAATAAATCTAGCTGTGGTCATTTTGGTCACCTCAGACTGTTGGCCTCAGGTTAAATCAACACTCTGGCCATATTAAAGGCAGGCGAGGACATCCAGAGTTATGGAGGTCAGAGTATGTGTAGTGCTTTAGTGACTAGCAGGACTGAGTCAACAAGCCACATCTCACACGTCCCCCCGGGGTGTGTGGTAAATCATGCCACCTCGGGCTAAGCTAACACCACAGGAGCTGAGTGATTCCAAACTTATGAGGCTTTTTTTAACGTTTGTTTGAGTTATGATTAGGCTGCAGAAGTATGTCGGGGAACAGTGCAAGAGGGGAGCAAAGGGTGTGAGACGTGAGAACAGTTGGCCCTGTGTTACCTGGTCCTCTTCAAGGTTGTGTCAGTTTTGATAAATCAAGATTTTCTTGTCGTGTTCCTTTTTATCTCCGACCCTGAGTTGCTGTCAGCGCTGACACATATTTTAGATCAAACACGCTTGCTGACTAACTTTCCCGTCTGTCCTGAACATGCAGACGCTGCTGAATGAGCTGGATAAGAGTACAGGCCGCTACAGAGACGAGGTCAACTTAAAGACCGCCATCATGTCCTTCATCAACGCAGTGCTCAACGCTGGAGCTGGGGAGGTTAGCACAAACACCCATATGCCCTTTAGATTGTTGAACTCTATAAAATAGCTTGAATTTAGCTTCAGTATTTGGGAACATAAGCCATGGATTGTTTTTTCTATACCTGCTTAAATTTGGATTAAAGTAAAAATACCCAAATCTTCAACATTTTTGGGAAAAAATGCTTTTTCGTGTTTTGGCAGAGAGGTAGATAAGAAGAGTGATACTGCTCTCATGTTCCTACAGTATGAAGGTACAGCCAGCAGCTGGTTGAGCTTAGCTTAGCATAAAGACTCGGGGTAAGGAGGAGAAACAGCTAGCCTAGCTCTGGCCAGCAGACTAAGATCCACCAACCAGCATCTCTGAAGCTCACTAACACAGATTCAGATTGGGTTACTGTAAGAGCTTTTGCCACTGATCCAGTCTTTGTACTGAGCTGAGCTCACTGGCTGCTCGCTGTAACTTCATATGTACGGTAGAGACATGTGAGAGGCATTGACCTTCTCTCCGCCAGAGAACGATTAAATGTATTTCCCAAAGTGTCTGTTACTTTACATATTCCTTCAAATGTAAAGCCCAATTTGAATGGGTTTTATTTCTCAAGGGGTGGTTGGATGTTGATGTTAATATTGCATGTGTGCACTTATCCCTAATTTAAATATTCTGTACAGAGTGCACATGTCAGAATTTATTAAAGCCACAAATACTGCTATGGACTCTTGGTTCCATAGTCAGTCCTCCCTTTAGAAACCTCATATTTGAACATGTATTCTCTCTCTGATGGGAAAGCACTTTAGTGACAAGGGTCACATGCTATTCCATTTTCTGTGGAATATAATTGTCAATCACAAACTTTCTTTCCTTCAGTAATTTCGCAAGCACTAAAATATTGTTGGGATTGATGAGTTTAGCTCGGTTTAGATACCAAGGCTCATGCTAGACATTTAATTACCCATCTCCCCATTTGAGGTACCTAATGTCCCATTAATCCCACTTGTGGATTCATTTGTTATTCTTAGGACAACCTCGAGTTCCGCCTCCACCTAAGGTACGAGTTCCTGATGTTAGGCATCCAGCCGGTCATCGACAAGCTCAGAGAGCACGAGAACGCCACTCTGGATAGGTGAGAGCAAGACCTAATGAGCAATCAACTAATACTAATGATCATCCTCATCAGTTATAATTCTTCAGGGCAGACCAGCAGGAAATTACTTCACCCTTATGTTTAGTTGAGATTGACTTCCTTATTGTTTGGGTTCCCAAAGATCATCAAAATAATGTCTTATATATTTATTTATGTAAAATCCCTTTATTTTATTTCCTTCTAGTCTCAGTAAAATTCAGTATCTTCTTCTTCCCTTAATAAAGGCGACAAAATACTAAAATTACTATACAACTTTGTTATTATTACATCAAGTCAGGAAATTAAGTAAGTTATAAGTTATATGGGCTATGCACAAGCAAACACATTCTTTTTGTTTGCCGAAAAGTCATTCACAGATTACCAAATGAGTTAGACCCCAGAGAGGCTGACTCCCTGTTAAACTGTTAGGATTTCTGTTGGTGTTCATATTTTACAACTGGAGACTCTGAGAACCCAACAAGAAGTAATGTGTTATTTTCTGTAGATGGCTTCTTATACATGCCATCAATTCAAAATCATGTTCATAACCAATCATCATAAAATCATGAAGTATTAAGTTGTCAGAGAGGGCCTGGTTTCTCCAGGACCCAAAATACAACATTAGGGTTAAATACTTTAATCTCACACAAGCATTTCTCTCTGTCCAGGCATTTGGACTTCTTTGAGATGGTGCGGAATGAGGATGACTCTGAGTTGGCCAAAAGATTTGATATGGTGAGTAACCTAGAATTACTTTTCAGCTTTACAATACTATTAAAGTTGATATTGGCGCCTGTACTTCTTGGGATGTGTGGCTCAAATGATCCATAGTCAAGCAGACCGATGGTCAGACTTCATATAATACCTCAAGACTGGTCCTTTTTCTTATTAGACGCATGTAGATACTAAGAGTGCCGGTGCCATGTTTGAGCTGATCAAGAAGAAGCTGAGCCACACAGATGCCTACCCAAACCTCCTCTCCATCCTCCAACACTGCCTGCAGATGCCCTGTGAGTAGCTGCATGCAGAGATGTTTCTCTTGCCTTTTACCAGATGAATTTTCTGCAGTGTGCATATTGAACTGATATCAATTTATTCTCATCACCTTACCATTCCTGTCTGCGATTCCGCACATAGACAAGCGTGGCGGCGGCAGCCTGCAGCACTGGCAGCTCTTAGACAGGATCCTTCAACAGTTAGTCCTACAGGACGACAAGGGAGAGGACCCCGACGCGGCCCCTCTGGACAACTTCAGTGTTAAGAACATTATTCGCATGTGAGTGAAATCTCGTCATCCTTAATCACAGCAGACATGTCATACAAGGGCAGACACACAACCTCTGCCCATTGCCAGCTGTCATACAGAAAATAATTATTTTGCATTAACATTAGTGTATATATAAAGATGTCACACTCTCATTTCTGGAAAAATACATATAATATAATATATATATAATATCATAAATCTTAAAGATAAGAAATAACTCTAATATCAACAGTATGTGCTCATGTATCAGAGAGGAAACATTTACAGTAAACCAGCATTCTCTTGTGTTATAAGACCTGTTTCAACACTCTTGGCCTGGCTCTCTTTGTGCCAGTGATGGGAGTGGAGAATGCGATTGCACAGAAGGGTGAGGTGAAGTGAAGGTGGCAGCAGGGGGTAGTTGGTAGAATCAGAGGAAGAGCATGAATTGGCATGAAAGCGGAAGACTGAGATCAAAAGGAAATTGCTCTAATCGCATTAAGCGGGCATGCAGGCCAGCCGGCCAAGTCAGCCATGTTTAGGTGCAGCGAAGCGGTCACTTTGCCTCATGCAGAAGACAAGAGGGAGAAATGATCATTTTTTAAAGGAAAACCACGCATTGAGGCTTGGAAGTAGATGTTTTTTGTATGTCATCATGTGCACGGTTTAAACTGTCGCTCAGAGAGATTCATTTCCAAACGATCACTGACATTTGCTGTTTTTTTGCGGCCTGGATTTCACTGATTTTTGAAATTAATCTGCACTTGTGCCCATGAGCGAAAGACCATGGTGTGTGCTGAGTATAGGTAGTGTTAAAAGATGGCATTCTGAGCTTTGTCTATACGATACATTTGGCGTGCGGTTCTCCCACGAGTTAACTTCAGTTTCTTCTTCTGATGTGCTGTCATTCTACTCTGTCACCATCTTTCTTCTCTTCCACTTTTTGGTTATTTCTAAACCAGGCTTCAGATCAGTGATGAATGTGTTTAGCCGCAGCGGTGAAAGCAGCGTAAAAATCTAGCGTGGTAAACCTTGGCCCCTGCTAGCTCCTACTTTGTTCACTAATTCAGCCACTACTGTTTGTGCAATCAGCTCACTTGAGCGTAATTCTTTCCAATAGCGAACACAAAGTGAACTTGGACGCTGCATCTGAGCCCGGATGTCCATTACTGTCCGCTGCAGATCCATCACGGCAGTCAAAGCCTATCCCTCACTTTACATTTTTGCCAAAGTCTTGTTGTGTTTCCATAAACTCTCTGAGAGGAAATTATGCCTGGAGAGAGGGTGCGTGAACTGAGCTCTCCTTGTTGTTTTGGCTGCACGCCGGAGACCCTGGCGGTTAACGGGTGAAAATGTACAGTTTGTCTCGTGCCGCAGCGGCTCAGAAGGAGAGGAGGGGGGGACGTTAAAACAACTGTTAAAACAACTTGGAGACAAAGTCGTTCATCATCTGCGGTCACCATGACGACGGCTCTGACTGCTCACACGTGTGCCTGACCCAAAATTAACACTCTTGTACAAATCACATTTTTCCACAGCTTTGTAAAGGTATTTATTTGACTAGTCAACAATAAAGTGATTGGGTCTTTTTGCTCTAATGAGCTGGAGTGTTACTGGAGCTGTAATTAAAGCAGCACCGACTTTGTAATCAACTTCAGACAGTCCTGTGCACTAACACAAGACCTGAGGAGACCTAAATCTGATTAATGACCAATTTGCTTTTAAATTACCTTGTGGATTTCCTCGTTTGAATTGATTACAAGTATTTAAGTGTGAATCATTACCACGGTGAAGTGACTTTATCCTTATTGGCAGTCCTACTTTCCCCGTTCAGTATTTCCTTCTCTCATGCTCTTTCTATTTCATTGCTCGTTTTAGACTGTGTTTAGTGACACTGAATACATGTCTGTTCTCTCAACTCTAGCCATGGCTTCCACCAGTGCTCAAGGTTTCACTTTCCAATCTCTCTTCATCTAAATTAATTTCACAAAACACTCCATTTGTTAATCCTTTTATTTCTCTTTCATTCAGTTTTAATATCTTACCTCCTATTTTTAACATCTACCAATGATTGCGTCATTATCAGGAACAGTCATTTCTCACATTAATTGAGCTCGCATTCAGAACATCTGTGTAACCCTGTTTAACCCCAAGCTGAACCAGGTGCCAAAATGTATAACTCTCAATATAATTGATTTCCGCTCTGCAGGATTTATTTTAGCACTAATGTTGTGTCATTCAGCTTAACAGAGCAAACTGCATCAACCCAGTCGATGCTGGTAATGAATCTGAATTCCTCTCACAAAAGGGAAGTCAAGAATTATTGTCAGTGATGAATAGATTTCCAATCTAATGATTGGATTTCCTCAAAGTGTTCCAGCTTGACTTGGTTGGTTTGCAGTTGACCCATTTGTGCAAGCATGTGCTCAGTTTATCTGTCAATTTGTGTCTGTGCTCATTTTGTCCGCCTGCTTTACAGGTTGGTCAATGAGAATGAGGTGAAACAATGGCGAGACCAGGCAGAGAAGTTCAGGAAAGGTAAAACTTGTTTGACACACTGCTCTCTGCAGGTTGAAGGAGAAAATGCATCATCAAATGCATCATGCATTTTTGTCCCCATCAATCAGTGATTTGTAGGCACATGTATTAAAAAACAATGTGCTTCTCTTTATGCACCTCTTCCTCTTTGCATTTTATCCTCTGAATCTACATCACATTTGTTTCCTTTTAGATCATGTAGAGCTGCTAGCTAAACTAGAGAGGAAGGAGCGGGAGTGTGAAACCAAGACCCAGGAGAAGGAGGATATGATGAAGACTTTGAACAAGATGAAGGACAAACTCCAGCGCGAGGGAGTGGAGCTGCGCTCAGCCAGGGAGCAAGTCCAGGACCTGTCCTCACGAATCACTGACATAGCTGTGAGCAGTGCTGCTTTTAATACTAGCTTACAGTATGAGTTAGTGTTATGCTCCTCTGTAACCCGGTAGCTGATTGCTAAGTTATAGAATGAATGTACATTTATATTTTAATGAGTTTTACACTTTTACCTAATGAAAAAACACTGTAATGTACAATTTTAAACAAAATAAAATTTGTTTTTTTTGGGAGCTACCCATTTAAAAACTAAAGGAAAGAAAAAAAAAATAAACTTCAATCCCAAAAAACCCCAACTTATAACACTTTAAACTAAAAATTTAAAATTAAAAAAAAAAAAAAAAAAAAAAAAAAAAAAAAAAAAAAAAAAACAAAAAATAAAAAATTATTCCATCTTAAAAAAAAAAAAAAAAAAAAAAAACGGCCCAGAAAACCAATCAAAAAAAACAAAGGAGGATATTTAAAAATAAAAAAAATATTAAAAAAAAAAAAAAAAAAAAAAAAAAAAAAAAAAATTATTTTAATTAAAAAAAATTTTTTTTTTTTAAAAATAATTTTTTTTTTTTTTTTTTAAAATTTTGTCAGGGTCTGTAGTTATCGAACATACTTGTAGCTGTTTATTTTGGAAGGTTACGCTTATTTTTGATGTATTTAGCTTTTGAATTTGAATGCACTTTGGTGTTGACCGCCAAATGAATGTATGTAATGTCAAGTCATAATAACATTGTCTTCTATTTTCCATCACTCCTCCAATAGGGCGGCACTGTGTCTTTCCCGCCTCCTCCTCCTCCTCCTGGGGCACCCATGGCTCCGCCTCCGCCACCTATGACGGCTGGCTTTCCTCCACCACCTCCTCCACTACCATTCAGCTGCCCGCCTCCTCCACCGCCTCCCCCTCCACCTGGAGGGCCGCCTCCTCCACCAGGAGCCCCTCCCATTTTTGGAGTCCCGCCTCCTCCCATTCCCTCTTTTTTCAACTCAGCGACCACCATGAGCTCCAAGTCCATCCCTCAGCCTTCTCATCCGCTGAAGTCCTTCAACTGGGCCAAACTAGGAGAGGTGAGAGAACAATGAGAACATGTGTTCTTTATATATAAAAAATCCCTCCATTTTTACATCAGATCTACACATCTGATGATATAATGAGCATGACTGATCTGCAGTATACAATAAAGATATGGTCTTATAGCTAATGCAATCGCACAACAACGCAGTACACAAGTAATGCAGAACAACATTTAAAAGTAGTAACCTCAATGTTAGTCAGTGTTTAAATGTTAATCCCTTATGTCTCTTTACTCATTTTCAGAATATGATCAATGGCACCATCTGGAACAGCATCGATGACCTGAGAGCTTTCAAGATTCTTGACCTCAAGGACATAGAGAAGATGTTTTCAGCCTATCAGAGACAACAGGTTTGGATTTGTTAACAACTGGGATACAGGAATGCAGTTTTATGACTTGGAGTTCAGTGTGTGTGTGTGTGTGTGTGTGTGTGTGTGTGTGTGTGTGTGTGTGTGTGTGTGTGTGTGTGTGTGTGTATATGTTTGTCTTGGCAAGCATCAACATATAGACACAGAAATCCATGACATACCTGTTGTTTTAATCACTGTTAGAGTTTGCAAGTGAATTTAGATTATTTAATGTGTTTGTACAAGTGAGAGAGAGAGAGAGTGTGTGTGTGTGTGTGTGTGTGTGTGTGTGTGTGTGTGTGTGTGTGTGTGTGTGATGGGCTGAGGGGGGCGGGATGTTGTCAGAGGACTCTTGAGGGTGCAAGGGTCCAACTCCAGGCTAACAGGAGCAGCTGTTCACTGCTGAATGCCTTATTGTAGAGATGCCACAGAGCTCCAGCTTTGCCCTTGTATCTGCAAAGCCCTTGTGTGAGAATTGGGGAACTGGCTGGGTCATCAGGGGCTCATGGGTAAAGGCAACACAGAGGAAACAGTCAACACCGCTGGAGTCACGAGGAGTCACGATACTCTAGGGAACTTGGCACTGAAAAACTCAAATAAAGAAGCAATTGACTAAACCATGTTGAACCAGGAACTAACTAATAGGATAATTGCAGTATGCATGCTTTTGGGGCGATACCATACACTACATAGCAATTACTTCCCTCTTAATTACACACCACTTGTCATGTGTGCAGTTTCATAAAGTGATATATTTTACTGCCTCAAATAAGTTTAAGTGGAATGTTGATATGCCCTAATGAGTTTCTAGTAATCACATTTTAAAGCAAGGTCTTTCAGGCTCAATGGAAGAGCAATACTTAACCTCTACAGATTACCATTGTGTAATTCCTTTTATAATGCATTTTACTGCCATGCTTTAAAGCCTTCTGACAGCTGAAAGCACAACTTCTCTTTTCAGGCTTTTATTAAAGAGTAATGGGTCATTTGAGGTTGTTGCTGACAGTGATTTACTGTGGGTATTTATTTATACAGAGTAGGTTTTTACTGGCACAGGCCGAACGGTTGAATGCAGATCTCTATGGATATAGCCACATAAAAACCCGAGATCTTCCTGGCTTTGACAACTCGGTTCCATTTGGCAAGAGCGAGATTCAGTTCAACCGGACAATACTGCAATGTTTATACATGGCATAATTGCTTTTTTTAAGCTTGTCATTGCTCTTTCTTTCAAAACGGGCTTTTGTTTACATTCGCCCCCCGTAGGATTAGTTACCACGCTCATTTTTCATGCTCTTGTTTTCCATGTCAAGACAGATGTAGATGCAATCAGAAGAATACATTATAACAACCGTGACCTCTTTAAAAATACAGAAACCAAAATCGCTTTTTTGTTCACCTATGCAGCTCAGAGATATTTCAGACTTTCAATGTAGATTCCATGAGCCCATGATGACTTGGACAGTAGATTATTATTGTTTTTTCCCCACTGAAGGTCTTCCCAGCTTCAGCTTGTAGTGTGCATAGTTGTAGTTCTTTGCTCTAGCCACCACTTTTTCTGCTTGAAGTGCTAATCTTTGCATGTGTTTTCAATTTTTTTGTGTCTCTCTGCACTCTCCGACTGCCTGGGCAGGACCTGCTCACTAACCAATCCTTCAAACAGGTGAGTTAAAGGTCTTCCAGCAACTTTATCTCATTGTTATCCACTTTCTGTGCTCTACCTTCTCTTCTGCAATACAGCAGCCACCTGTTACTTGTAGGATGTGAACACAGTGATCACATTTTCTTGTTTGTTTGTTTTTAAAGAGTTTTGGGATGTATGACCCTCCATCTTGCATACCTTAATGTTAAAGCAGCTCTAATCAATATTTTAATATTAACACAGGGTTAGATGACTACATGTAATGTGAAAGCGGTTGCCTGTAATGATGAAGCCACAGAGAATTCTCACCTGACTCTTCATTACTCTGTGTGTCTCCAAAGGAAGTTTTCAGACCCAGTATTGAGCTGTAGGTCACCCATATGTTGGCCGTGTTGCCGCTGCACTGATTAAAATAGCAGCATATCTGTTCCAATAAAACATGTGTGAGACGGGCGACTGAAAAAAGAGATTTAGAGCGTTTTTCAGCTCATTGTTTTGCCGTCTGGTTTGTAACTTCGCTTCACTCTCACCAGTCTCATAATGTCGTACTAAAAACCCACTGTACATGCAACTAGCTGGTGAACATAGTGAAGCACTTAGCAACTGAAATGCCAGATGGTGGATGGGGACCAAAAGCAGAGCTCGGTGGAGGAAGGTAAAATATTGGACTTGCGCTTGTCATGTCACCAGAAACACGACTCCAAATAGATGCTAATGTTGCTCTGTGTCTGCACATTCAAAGACTTGAGTTTCACCACTGTATGAAATAACAGTGTAGAGTATGTGGCCAGTGGAAGGGAAGAAGGTGCATAACTGGTTGGATGTAGACTTGGACTGTTTCCCTCAGTGGAGGTTCAGAAAACCCTAACTTAAATGCTGCATTAATCTTCATCATCATTACCTTATGTTCATCTTAGTTATTGTGTTGATTACCGTGATCACCATCATCTCCTTCCATTGCCTTAATTGTCATAATATATCATCATGACCTGAACAGGAAAAGCCTACATTTAAATATTAAAAAATCTCAACCATGTTGCCTTCCACAAGATTAACAAAACAGTCCAAACACCTGACCACTCTTCAATCAAGGCACTTAATAACTGATATAAAAGATGAAAGGGCAAGTCTCCTGTTACACATACACAAGTTGGCAAATTTGCCTTTAACACGTGGGTAGTAGGGGCTTTGGCAGGCCCAGCAAATGGGAGTTGTCCCCCTAACCCAGTGCCAACCTCACTCTGCTGCCAGGCACCGTGGGTCAGGCATGGAAAAACGACACTTTTTTTTTTTTTTTTTTACAAGCCGCATCTGTTTTACATACGTCATAGCCAGCAACCTCAAAAAGGACATTTTCTGGCATGCAGGAAACCAGTTCGGACCGTAAATAGAATGTGTTTAACATGCAGCCCCGACCAGTCTTTTTTTTAACACGTGTATTCTTTCCCCTTGTGGATTTTTAATACTACATTTGTGTGAAACTTACAAAAATATCTGACCCGCCTGAACCGAGTTTTGAAGTGTTTCCAGTTCCTCTGACAGGTCTAAAGGCCTGCCTGCATTGTGTTTGCAGTGGTGACTCATGAATTTTTGACTTTTTAAAAATATTTCTACCCTTTTTTTGATACATTTTCATATACCTTCCACAATTCAGTCTAGGGTTTTATCATTTTTAATGAGATGTGTATTATGGCCCATGAGAACTGATGCATGTAGTCAGTGACTGCAAAAGCAGGTCAGGGAACTTGACCTGAGGCCAACTAAAGTATTTGGCTGGAGTGCAACCTTTTAGTCTGTGCACTGTGAAAGTGGCAGTGATCAAACTGCAACAACTGGCCTTGGTTCTTTTGGGTTTTTTGAGGTCTTTTTTTTTTTAAATATCTGCTCCAAATTAGCGCATCGTTAAATGCTTAGAGGGGGTCATGTCATCTCTCAACAAGATAAAAATATCAAACAGATGTGAGGAGGACACATTTCATTTTGCAGGCTTTGTATTTTCTCTGAGCACTTTTCTCAGTGAAACTATGTTTCAGAGTTAATCAGTTTTTTTGTCTTTATTTTTCTGCAGAAAGAGACGGGCTCTATGGATGACATATACGTCAGCACACGGAAAGTCAAAGAGCTGTCGGTCATTGACGGTAGACGTGCACAGAATTGTGTCATCCTGCTTTCAAAGTAAGGGTCCCAGCCAGAATGATTAATTCTGCTACATTGTACCATCAGTGAACAGATCATGAACAGTTAGTAATAATCTGTTAATTCCATTATAATTATGGAGAGATGCCCTGATTGTGAGCTATTGAGAAGTAAGTGACAGTGCAGCCTTTGGGTCAGGGGTTGGAGCTATAACTCAGTGTGGAGCTGCTCAAAACAGGTGCTTCTTATGTCGGGCACAGGAAATGTGTTTTTAATGGACACACAAGGACATCTGCCAGTGTAATTGAATTACCATGCATACACTTTTTTGAAAAGAAGAACAAACTGAGTCATATGACAGATTGAAATCATTGTCCAGGTCAGCATAAATCTCTGGAGTAGTGTTCAAGTTTTTGTCTAATTTGAAACATTCAAGTACTGTCAGTCTCCACAATAAGTCATAAAGAATAAACTAAGACACATAAAATTGACCCCCTCCTCCCAAGGGGCTTTGAGGCCCACTATATCTGAACCGGAATCAGTTGTCATCATTTAAGATCCACTCGACAATATGGTTACCATTTGTATGTCTGTGTCTCTTGATCCAAAGCCCTTTGGGGAATTTGAATCCTAACCCCACTTTACAGATCAATAAACAGGCTTCCTGAGACCTTTCACTGTCTGACAAAACAGCAGCATGGTCCCTGAGCTCACTCTCATGTCAATAGTGAATGACCTGAGGGTACAAACTAGACCCAAATGGGGTCAGCAGTTGGTCAATAAGTCTCTGATGCACAGACTAACAATGGTGTTATTGATCACAACCCAGCACACTTAACACTGATCAGATGCACTGAAAACAGCTGGCAGTGCTTGCGGCGGTTGATGCCGGTCCAGACCAGTATTCAGAGTATTGGTATAAGTTCACTCACAGTTTTCTGTCTGTAATATGGCAATGAATTGCATGTAATGAATGAATGTAATTCAAGAAACATTCAATAAACCATTTTCTTCCTTTGCAGGTTAAAAATGAGTAATGAAGAGATCAAGAGGGCGATCCTAGAGATGGATGAGAGGGAAGAGCTAGCCAAAGACATGCTGGAGCAGGTAAGGTTCAGTGTTTGATGTATGATCATGTATATACAGTATGTAGCTGGGTCGTTGCATTATGCATTATGACTGTTTGGGTAGGTAAAAATGGATTTGATTGTTTAAAAAGGGCTTCAAAAATGTACTTGGCCCAGGCGAAGTAATATTATAAATTTCAGTTATTTCTGACAAGGAAGCATAAAATAAACAACCTTATTGCGACAACCAAATATTACAGCTAAAGTAGTAAAGGTAATCAACATTCAAAGAATACTTAATACCACATTTCCTGAAAAAAGTTCAGTACTATACATTTCAGTCTGCTCCACAGACAAATGCATTTGCATCTGGAATAACATTGTTCTTGCGTCTTTGCAGTTGCTGAAGTTTGTCCCAGAGAAAAGTGACATCGATCTCTTGGAGGAGCACAAACATGAGCTGGAGCGGATGGCCAGGGCTGATCGCTTCCTCTTTGAAATGAGCAGGTAAACAGGTCTACGTTACTGTATAACACTTTTATACGTGTGTGTTCAGTATCTGGTTTCTGATGTCTACTATATGTTTTTTTAGTGCAGCCAAACCATCTGCAAAGCATTGAATCACATAGATCTGTAATTTGCAGAACTGGTGGGATATGGTGATGAATGAATATGAGTTACACAAAAGTCAGTGTCTGTATGACAAAACAGATGTTACAGATTTTTTAAACTGCACGACAACAACTTGTAGATTTTCTGCAGAATCGAGACATCTGCCTGTCACCCACAAGTAGATCCTAAAATATTGTGAAGCACAATGTCTGTTCAAACGGAATGACCTTCTGAAGCATCATGGGAATGCTGGGATCAAGAACAAGCCTCGAACTTTAGTATGATTCATCCTTTAGCTGAGAAAATAAGTCATGGCTGCCCTCTGAGGACTGCCATCACATCAGAGGGTGGGGACGCTTTAAATCGCTGCCTCTTTTGTTTTGCATTCCATCCTTTCTCAGAATCGGCACTGTTTATACAAGATAATTAAACCTTTTCATTTCCTTCAGTGAAATATTACCCTGTCCACTTTCTTTCCTTTTGACCACATCTCCTTTGGTCTGAGGAATACATCTGGGATTTAGTTATTTCCTTTTTTTTTCGCCATTTAATATCCCCAGTCCCTCTTTGAAATCCCTACTCCCTCCCCAAGTGAACATTTTGGCAAGTTTAACGTACCCATTTGTCAACTCTCCAACTTGATGGGAGCCTATTAGATGATAAAAGGCCTGTGAAAACCGAGAGAGGGAGTTTTGTACAATTGGATGACTTCTAGCTTTGAACTTCCACTCCCCTGAAGACAAATTTAACTCACCTCCCTTTTTGTTTCTTCCCCATTTCTCCTCATTTTACCTCTTTCTTCCCTTCATCAGAATTGACCACTACCAGCAGAGACTGCAAGCTCTGTTCTTTAAGAAGAAGTTTGCAGAGCGTCTAGCCGAAATCAAGCCTAAGGTTGAAGGTAAGGACCTTGGAGGCCACTTAAAGGCCAAGAACCTAATTCTCAGTTATTGGTCATTTAAAGGATAAGGCTTGTAATATTCTTCTTATTGCCAACAAATTCCATTGAAAAATCTTAAATGTGTGTTAATCCTCAGCTGAAAATAGTGCCCAACAAATGCATAATTTCCTTCTGTTTAAACTGTTTTTAAAGATGAACTTGCCTAGGAACCAATGGGCTTAAGTGCCACGTACAGGGTATTGCCTGTACGTATTCTTATCCTAAACCTTTGTCACGTTTTTCTGTGAGGCTTGTTCGCATGAGTGTTTCAAGTAGGATTCTGCAGGCAAACACACAGTGAATAGTTTGTTTCAGCCTGATGAATGTCACCTGTTCACGAGGAGGTGCGAGTTTGTGAGATTTGATCATTATCCTAATCGACGCCCCAAAAATGTCCATATAAGGCGGTCTCTTCTGCTCCTTGTGTGGGAAGCTTTTGTTCACAAAAATGTAAAAATGTTTCCAAAGAGTAAAAAAAGAGAAGAATTTCACACAGCGAAACGTCAAGTACCACTTTGTTGTTTAGAATATTTTCTAAACACGTAGAAAATATTAATAGAGCAGCTGCCAACAGCGTGTCGAATTCTCTTGAATCTCGTATGTGCCACTTCAGAAAAAATGTTGGTTTTGTTCTTTTTATGGGATTTGTTGACAACAAGAAAACACAGACAAAAACAGCTGCTTTATTCTTTAAAAGGCAGAAATATTGTCCTAAAACAGTGCACTTTTAACATGGTTTAAACAACAATATTACACGCCTGGAAGCAAAAAAATTGTTTCCAGCACTAAAAATGTCACCAGCTTTGAACTCTATGACCAATGCTTTTCACAGTGACTTGTGAAATCTTCTTCTTTGCGTTAAGTGTGCATGTGTGTGCATGGTGAGAGCGGGTGGCCGACTGTATATTGGCCCACTGTAGTTTTTCCCTTGAAGCCAGCTTCCAGGTTACCAAGGAGGCTGTTTTGGAAAGCTGGCTCTTGTTGAGAGGGGAGAGCCTCTCTCGTAAACACTGCAGCTCACTTCAAAGACTCTGGTAAAAGGCTCCCAATGAGCTCCGTAGACATGTGTGTGTGCACGTGTGTGCACATGGGTGTGTCATTACTGAGCTGTCACAGTGTCCGTTTGAGCCAGAGCTACTTGAAAGACACTTCTCCACTGGCCTACATGCTTTTCTCTGCACATTATTTGTGGCAGCAGTGTTTTGAGAGTGCTGACTGACAGTTCAGCTCTGTGTGTGCTGTAGCTGTTTGTCAGACAGTCTATCTATTCTAGTCTGAGATCAAATAAAATGTATCTCCTCACATACGTTACTACACAGAACAGAAAGAAGGTACGAGCAAATGAATAATCCTGTGAGTGCTGATTCAAGCCTCCGGAATCTTTGTTGTTGGATCCAAGTGTTCCCAGACCACACTGTTCATCAGTGCCCATAATAAAGTTCTCATCCTCTTTTACTATTCATGTTACTTTGTCATATACTCTAGATGAGACTATATTTCCTTGGACCACCCAGTAGTTCAATAGAAGACAGTGCAGTGGGCCGCCAGGCCTTTCTGCATCCAGCAGAATGCTGTCAGCAGAGCCAGAAGAATGGTTCCCATGCTTCATCACAGCAGAAAGAACTGTAACAATAACAATATGGATTTTGTTAATGATTTTCACATTCACACTGAAGTTTGCTCTGTGGAGAGGGGGAACCACCTGGACTATGCCAGACAAGTCTGTTCTCGGGGGGAAAGAAATGGACAGCATGGGGTTGTGTTTGGAATATTCCCTTCCCCCTGCTGTTTAATGGATGGATGGAAGGACTTGATGGGTTTCCCCACTGAGCTGCCCAGTTGTTGTGGGGAATATTGATCAATCATCATGAAGGATGTTAAAAATGAAAAGGAAAGGATGAGAACCCTTGGGCCACGTACATTTGAGACTTTGCATGTGTGTCCTTGGGAGCTGAGTAGAGAAACGGAATGGAAGGGTATGGAAAAAGGCCCAGTTCATTATGTAATATAAAAGGTGATGCACTAAGCAAAGTGCACACATATCAATCACCAACTATATGATCTCCCCAGCTGCCTCTCTCTCCATTTTCCTCCAGCCCTCCTGACTGCGTCCAAGGAGGTGGTCCGGAGCAAGAGGATGACTCAGATCCTGGAGGTGGTGCTGGCCTTCGGCAACTTCATGAACAAGGGCCAGAGAGGAAACGCTTACGGCTTCAAGGTCTCCAGTCTCAACAAGATCGCTGACACCAAGTCCAGCATAGACAGGTGGGCCAGGGGGGACCTTGGACATCAAATTAATAATTAATTTGGATGGCCGATCACGATAATATCCAAACAGATACGTTACAGACTTGTTTGTTTACATAAGAATGTCATCAGTATATTAGCCAGCAGGATTCCAGAATGAACAGCAGGGTTTTCACTACCATTGTAAGACTTGAGTTCAGGGCCTAAGCATTTTATTTATTTAGGATATTTGAATATATTTTCACATTCCAATTCCAATGTCTGAATATTCTTAAGATTGAAAACGTCATCGCTCTCGGAAAGGGTGTACTAGCATTATTGTGCTAATCATTGTATCAGTGGCATAAAATGGTCTTAATGTCGATAATGTGGTTTACCGCAATTATTTCTGGGACAATATATCGTCCAACAAATGTACAGTAGTTAGCGTGACAGGCCTAATGTCAAAAAGTCCAAATCCAAATGTCAAAATTCAAACAAATGTCCCCTAGGCAGACCAAAGCTTTTATTTAAATATTAATTTTACATCTTCTTATGTTTGTATCACCCAAAGCATGATGGGAACACTCGTGTCAAAACAGAGAAAATGGATCCCAAATGGAAATAAAACAAGGGAGCGACAAAATCCAGGGAATTTCTTGACAGTACCATGGCTAAAAATGTTCCATCAACTTGGTCCTTAAATGCCATGTCCAGTTCCTGTGTTCTGTGTTTTATTTTTGGAAATACAGGAAAAAAACCCACATATCAAAATATTAAATATCAAAATACATATAGAGAGATATAGTTAATAGAATATGCATAACTAATAGTAGAGTTCAACCTGAGCAATACAGCCTGGATTCAAAGGGTTAAAGAAAAGTATTCAAGATGATCCTTTAATTAGCAGCTCTACAAGAAGTAGTGTTCTTAGATTACTGTTGTTAAAAAACTTTTGTCTTCAATTGGGATTTAGGAATATCACCATGTTGCACTACCTGATCATGATCTTTGAGAAGAACTACCCTGACACCTTAAACATCCAGCAGGACCTCAGCAGTGTACCAGAGGCTGCCAAAGTCAAGTGAGTGCACAAAATGTCACCATACTTATGTATCTTTGTGCCAACAGTTGTTACTAGGGTAAAGAAAACACTATATAGTTAGTAGGTGATTTTGATTTTATTATTTGGTGGCTTTTACTTTAAAAGGTCATTAAGAATGTAAATTAGGACACAAATTGTACCCCAGTACCCTATGCAATAGACAAAGATTGTCTCCACAGCAGTTTTTTCTCTTTCTTTCACTAGTTTGTCGGAGTTGGAAAAAGAGGTGCACAGTATCAAAAGTGGACTGAAGGCTCTAGAGGCGGTGAGTTGTATTCCGTTTGTGTCACGTTCCCTCCCATCGGTTCTTCTCCTGTCTGTAATTATGTTTTTGAGCAGGGCAGAGATGGACAGCAGGGTGAGGTGTTTAAATGCTGGTAATGTTCCACGCTGACATGGAAACGCCAAATGTCACATTTCCAGCCACACACAGTGACAAGGGCTTATGTGCACGCACATTTGAAGCCACATACACGTATTACACTGAACTACTTTTTTTTTTTTTTTAAGTTTTCGTAAGTGAGGAACTTTAAAATCATCAGATGTTCCTTCCCTTGGCTTAAAGGAACATCACTGATGACTTCCTCTGTCCATCTATTCCTTTTTCTATTTAAGTGTATTAAGAAAACGAGAATCTCGTGACTTAACATCTCTCATCTGTTTTGGGCCCTCCAGGAGCTGCACTACCAGCAGAGCAGGACGAGGGAACGTGGGGATAAATTTGTGGCTGTGATCGGTGACTTCATCACCGTGGCTGGCTTCGGTTTCTCTGAACTTGAGGACCAGCTGAGTGAAGCCAAGGACAAGGTAGCTAAGTGCATAACCACATAGTGAACAGTGTGTTTGAGTGTGAGAGAAGATCATACTGTAAGTTCATGTCCACATGGGTGGCTTTAATGCATCCTTTGCTAGCTGCCAAACCTTCATGTCGGACAGAAAAGGAGGGAGGAAGAGCGAGACAAAACACTGAAGGGTGAAACCATGAAACCCCTGTGCATCCCTCTTAGTCCAGTGTGATGACTTCAGCAGAACTGGGGGAAACCCAGCACTGAAAGATTAGCATGTATTCCCCCTGGTCCTCCCTTTTGTGTTTGCCTCTTTGAGTCAGTGTTTTAAATCCATCCGTCCTTCTTTGTACAACCGGGACAAATGGCCTTTTGAACCCTGCTGGCTGATGTATTGAAGTATGCAAGCTGAAGACATCAGTGGGACTGAGGGAATCCCAAAGTAAGACAGCGTTGAAAAGATTTATGTGGACGTGTTATTTAATTTGCAGGCCTTCGGTGCTCTGTTGCACATTTAGCATCCTGTGCTCACACATTGGAAGCTTACATTAGTGCAGATATTACATCCTACTTTAGGATGAGGCTTGTCTTTTTCCAACATAACACAATGATGCTAAATGCTCAAATTCTCTAAAGGATCAACAGATTGTGAGAGAGACAGGGAGAAAGAAAGGAGGAAGGGGCCCGTGGGTTTCATTTAGAGCCTCCCCTCTACTTAATTATTTGTTCAAGGAGGAGGTCGGTAAAAAACTGGAGGGAAAACGGGCCAGTTGGTACGTCATGGGAAAAGAACGGGAGGAGTAGGGCACCGGTTGCTCCTGTAAAACAAAAGAACCTGTGTTCACCGGCCCAGACTCTAAACACACACTTTTCCTAACACAACTGTGTGTCTGAGTGTGTGTGGTTGGTAAATGGGGAGTCTGACGCATTAACTCAGTGCTTGTCAAGGCTCTCTGACGCTCCATTAGGTTTCCAATATGGAAGTGTGGGTGTGCACTCAGCGTCTCAAGAAGGTAGAGGAGGATGACTAAACAGAGCAGGCGGTCCAGTGAGGCTCATAAAGCTCCATGGCAACTAATGTATGTGTGTGTCTGCGAGAGAGAGAGACACACACACACACACACACACACACACCCTCGCCAGACACTACTACATACATTACAAAGGATTACAGTTGTCCAAGGTCATGTGGGTTATTGGGACGGAGGTTTCCAGAGGAGAGAAGGGATTTTCCTCTTATCCAGAGAGATTGGTTGGGTTTATCCTTAACAACACATCCACACACCCACACATCGACATGTTCGCAGACAATACAAGATTCAGTCTCTATCCAAAAATAAAAAAAGCTCAGTTTCAAACAGAAAAAAGCAGACCAGGGAGTGCTTCAAGATATTACATTGCCACATGGGCTGTTGGAAGGGGAAATATGAAGATTAAAGACAGAATTGAGTACAGTGGCCTAAAAACTCCAGATTCAGGCATTAATGTGAAGTTTGGCTAATAAAAGACCTTTAGTAGAAGGATTGGAATAATGAAAAACAGCCCTTATGTATCGATCTGTCTTCATCAGAGAGATTTTCAAGTTGCACTTTCATCATTCATTCACCCAAACTAGTGTCTTTGAACATTTTAGGCCATTTGCTTTAAATTATGTCTACTTCACAGTGCTGCCAAACATTTTCCAAAGCAGACTGAACTGTTGTTTGTCTGGTGGTTTAATGCCTTTCCCACCTTACAGGCAGCCATTATAGTTTCCGTACAGCATCAGAATGAACCTGTAGGGACTTAAACCATACCTGAGTTGGCTAATCCTTCACAGCACGTGCCATGCCTGCTTTTAATATTGTACAACTTAAGCCATCATTGCAAGATCAATAACAAATAATTGCAGACTGATTAAAAAAGTGGGGATAGATTCCATAGCAGCGATGTCCTTTGACAAAATTGATACAGACATATTAATGATGGATCACCTGTCACAAGCATGTTGCTCTTTCAGCTAGATGCTAACATGTTGATTTTTACCATGTTCAGCATTTGCTAAATGAACTGAACACATATTACAGCTGAGGCTGAGGGGAATGTCATTAGTTTTGCAGGTATTTCTTCATAAAGCAAAGTATTGGACAAATACAAATGATCATAGCGCTATGGGACAAATAAGGGCATTGGGACATGGTATCTGTACTGAATTTCATGGCAGTCCATCCAAAAGTTGGATTATATTTCACTCTGAATCAAAAATGTCAACCTGCTAGAGGAAAGGTCTGAGAATGATTAGGTCATCAAGTCATCATAATTATATGTCAAATCTTGTTGAGACTCTTCAATTTGAACCAAAGTGGTGGACCAACTGAACGACCAACTCCCCAGCCAACATTGCGTCCCCGCAGCCTAAACAGTTTTGCTTTGAAAATGGTGTGTGGAAGAATAAAGTATATGTGTGTCTGTAGTTGGATGTTCATTCCAATAGAGCATCTGTATTTCTAACCATGTGACCAACAAATGGTAATTGTGTTTCCATGCTTTGTGCAATGAATGGATCAAAGCCACGTTACAGTTGAAAATGTTGATCCTTTTATACAGGTGCATTTAACCAAAGCTCTGCAGAGACTCCACTGCAGTTTCTCTGCACATAAACAGTGTTTTGTCACTGTTTTCATTTCCAGCTCAGCACCAATTTCCAACTTATTTCCCACTTGCCCACTTTCACTGGACCTACCACCTCACAGCCACTAATCCATAATACTTCAGCTATTTCACCATCCCTCAGCTTTTTTTCTTCCTACACTAAATAAGTTGGCACAGTATAGCTGGGAGACTGGTATGATGGAGGGGGGAGGGGGGGTCTCTTCCAGGGTGTTAGCCACAAACTGAGGACCTATTGAAAGACAAGCTTGGCTCATTTCCGCTGTATCAGTGTTCAGACCATATTGATTCTCTGAGGATGCCCCTGTCTTCCCGTACACGTTGTTCGTGCCAGATAAAAAAAATTATGTGCTTCATGATGTTTGTAAAAAATATGTAGCCTAGTTAATTAGGTTTCCCTTGAGTGCATTTGCATAGCAAGTTCTAACACACAGAGCAGTCAGTGGTGGAGGAGAAGGTGCCAAGCAAGACCAAATCTATGATGTTAACCAGAGCCAATCAGAAACAGCCTGTGGAAAAAAATCAGTGGATTTTCAACATCTTTAAATCAAAGTGCCTGACAATATCTTTAATCAGCATCTACGGTGAACAAATATGAACGCAAAATTCAACACAAACAGCAGGGCCGTAATAAATACTCTATCAAGACAAAGAGATAATTAGCCTCTCGCTGAGCGCAGCAGTGTTTGTGTGTCTGTGTGAGATGAGCTAAATCTGTGCAACTTCACATTCTCCAATTGTGTGTGTGTGTGTGTGTGTGTGTGTGTGTGTGTGTGTGTGTGTGTGTGTGTGTGTGTGTGTGTGTGTGTGTGTGTGTGTGTGTGTGTGTGTGTGTGTGTGTGTGTGTGTGTGTGTGTGTGTGTGTGTGTGTGTGTGTGTGTGTGTTTTACTCATTTAACACAGACCCGAAGGGACGAGAGGAAACAGATTTGACCAGACACATAATTACAGGGGGGGTGAGGGATGATGGTGGCGGTTGTCATGGTGACCAGCCCATAATGACTAGGATGATTTTGTATCCTCAGAAAAGAGCGAGCCCCAACTCCTTCACATCACAACAGCACAACCACATACAGTATAAACTAGAATGATATGATGTTTTCTGTCACTTTACTCCAACATACGATAAGAATAGAACAGAGTACAGTACAATAGAGACTGCTGCTCTCCAACTGGAACACTGTTTGTTTTGAGATTGATTTTAGGCTGCAGGGTTAAAGTCAATGGCCCAGTTATTTGTGAATGTATATTATATGTTATCACAATCAATAACTGGAGGATTCGCTTGCTATATTTTAAAATCCACTAAAAGTTCAACTGAGCCTGTATTAGGGAGTATTGTTACACATATGAAATCAAAACCAAAGTTAACTTGGAGAGAGAGAGAGGGAGAGGGAGGGAGGGAGGGAGAGAGAGGGAGAGAGAGAGAGGGAGAGAGAGAGAGAGAGAGAGAGAGAGAGAGAGGAGAGAGAGAGAGAACCTGCAGGTTCTTTTAGAGATACTAAGTGCAGTTGTGTTGTGTCAAGTTGAAAACTATGAAATGTTTCCTGTTATGTTATTTCCTGAAACAGTATAAAATAGGATTAATAATGATACACTTAATAATGATCAGTATTCTAGTTTTGGCAGACTTTTGCAGCCACACATAATGAACTGTGACGCTGTATTGATGTCCTGTTGAGTCCATATGGTCTTTAGCAACAACTGAGTCCGACCTCTATGTAGCAATAATATTGTGTTAACATTTAAGTTTACTGTGTTGCTTGCTGTGTTTTTGCTTTTTACTGCAGTACAAAGCTGTGTGTGTAGGAATGTAGAGTAGGTTTGGCTGCAGGCACCGTCCTGGCACAGAGCACTGGACAGCTTGGACCGAACAGAGTGGACATACGGTGGTCAAACCGTGCAGTCATTCTCCCGCCTTGTGTGTCTTTCTGTGTGTTCCTGCAGTTTTTGAGAACATTAAGCACGCACATGCAGATGAATTTGAGCATATGCATGCATAGGCAGGCTCATATGTGCCTTTCACTACAAGAAGAAAGTAAGAGATCTGGACCATAGCAGAGAATACAGTATGCAATAATGCATTTGGTTATGGTGTATGTATATGTATTAGCTATGTCCATGTTTATCTACTAAAACCTGTAAACAGGCCAGCTTTTTACCACTTCCTATCAGAAAGGTAAAACTGATGTACATGATATCTCTGTGCAGTTTACCAAATCTCTGAAGCACTTTGGGGAGGAAGAAGGGAGGATGCAACCCGATGAGTTCTTCGGGATATTCGACACCTTCTTGCAGTCGTTCAGCGAAGCACGGCAAGACCTGGAGAACATGCAGCGACGTAAAGACGAGGAGGAGAGGAGGGCACGAATGGAGGCCATGGTGAGACACACATCTAGAGAATAAACCAGCAATGTGGAAAGAACTCCAATTATGTTGGCAAAGAAAGAATACAAATACTTATTTTAGATTTAAGATTTTAAATCACGTGTTTAAAGCATGTGCTCAGGTGAGTTCTTCTACTCCCCTCTGTTTCTGTCTTTGTCCCCTAACTTCCTGTCTCCATTTTCCAGCTGAAGGAGCAGAGGGAGCGGGAAAGGCGGGCCAAGAAGAGCGGGGCCTCAGACGAGGTCGGTGGGGAGTTTGACGACCTGGTGTCGGCGTTGCGTTCCGGTGAGGTCTTCGACAAGGACCTGAACAAATTCAAGCGTAACCGCAAGCGCTCCGTCAACCAGCTGGTGGAGGGTGGGGGCCGCGAACGAGCTGTCACCAAGGTCAACTACTAGGTCAGGAAAAGGAAGGAAAAAAATAAAGACAAGATGCCTAAATTCTGCCGTGGTGTAGATCTCTGAACACCTTTAGTCCAGGTCCTCGAACGGTGACCAATGACATTGGAGAGGATGTAAGTAACGGCTGAACTGGACATGTAGCGACATGTGTGGACAGCCACGCCGTTTTGAAGGATGCAACACTCTCCTCTGATTGGTCTTGTAAAGCTATTTCCAACCCGTTTGTCCTGGACGATCTCCTGAGCTGGACGAAGAGCAGTTGGGATGGATGGATGGACGGACAGACCACTGTGACACATTATCCCATATCTTTTGACCATATCCCTTTTAACACTGTGCTCAAGCTTCCAGCTCTCTATCACCCCGTTTTTCACTGCTCTTTTTCTTCTCACAACCCTTCCGCTGTTCCCCACTAAGTTCCTTGGTGCTGGAGCAGCACTATCTTTTTGCTATCTGGCTCTACAACACACAGGACATTGGGATCAGCCAGTCACACTGTACATAGACATGAGGCCAATAGAAAAGATTGGAAAAAGAAGGTGTGCAGGGGGAACTAAGCCATAACCTCCACAGTCATGGTTGCTTCAAGTTTTCCCGCAGGAAAGACAAATTTTTCAGCCACAGAACAGGTCGATGTTCATGAACTTGCCCTGCTGCAAAGAAGGGCGTGCAGTCAGCAAATCCCAGAATGCTTTATAGGCTTCTGAAAGAGAGAGGAAGGATACGCAACGGAAGATTCATCCCAATGTCCTCCTCCAGCACACAGCATTCCCTGGGAGTAGATCCCGTGCTGCGCTTCAGATACAACTCTTCTCAAGGAAACAAACGGCTTCTCAGCTTGATCCACCTGACAAAATGTCGACTGTGCCACAAGGGTCAAGCCTCACCTACACTCTTTCAGCATTGTTCTGGCATTAATCAGTGCCAAAGCAAAGAGAAAACAATGTAAATGTATTAATACAAAACAATACTGCAATTAGGCGTTGATATATATTTATATTTAGATGCAGACAAGCTAATTGCAAAGATGTAGAGGTTTTTTTATGTTTTCATGGCATTTGGGGGTTTTGTACACGCAATGCATTATTTGTTGGTGTTGCAAGTTCACATTGCTGTTGAAGTGAATTTCTATACATTTTGCGCTATGTAAATAAGACTGCTCGTCCTTTTCTCACACCTGTATGTCTCGTTTGCACTGTAGCTTTTCTGACAAACTTTAGACTCGTAGGTTTCCACAAGCCGATCTACAGTGTCCTCTCTGTACTTTAATGACCTTTATCTGTAACAAAGATAATGAAGGAATGCCATATATGATTTTAAACCTAAAGGCACAATCTGTGGTTAGTTTACAGTCATCTTCCTGCTCAGCTGCCAGTGTGCATGGTTCACATCTGAATGTCATGTCCACTACATCTGCTGCAACTAAAATGCAGAGCACAGGGACTCGCAGAAGTGGCCAAAAGGATGCTACAACAGTTCTGGTAGGGCCTTTAATTATTCTCATCCATAGTGTCTGTAGGATCTGTTCCACTGGTGCTAAAACAATGCGGTCTCTGGACAGAGCCATCAGTACAGTTAAGATTCTCAAGTTAAACTAGGGCTTATTACTCTGTTACCAAGATTCAGGCATTTCTGTGAGTTTTTATTTCAGTTGATGTTGTAATCTCAGACCACACCATGTGCTGAGTCTGTTATTGTAAAGTCAGGGTACAACAAAGCACTTAAAGGGTTCACAACTTCTTCTAGTGGCTTGATCAGCTTGATCAGTTAGTTAGCTAGGGTTCTTTAATGGTGTACATGGACTCTAACAGGAAGACAAAAGCCTCAGAGAGACTCACAGAAAACAGTTTCCTTCCAAGTTCTCTCACGCGTTTGTTTACATAAGGCTAGACCCCGTTACTATGGGCAACCTGTTGCCAAACAAGAGTCAGACTCACACACTGATGCCAACCTAGGTCTCCTTTTTGAAATATTCAATGTATGTTTTTTAAATGTGTCTATATATGCATTTCTAAAACCTTAGCAGGCATGACAAAAGCTGCAATGTATGGGCTCGCCTCGGTACAACATCTTCTTGAAGATGGACATACAGTAGTTTGCTATAGGAAGTGTACCCAGGGAGAGGGGCTTTAATGCTGGACTGAGGGCTCAGCTATGGAATGAGCCGCTCCTGGTCAGTTCTGAGGGAGATGAGGAAACCGATAAAAACAAAAATCATATGCCACATTTGAACATCCGTCTTCATGTAAACAGGTAGAGGGAAACACGTGAAGTTCATATGAAAGATCCTGGTATCTGTGAGGTGTCCGACGTACTGTGGGAAGATTGGACTTCAGAGCAAATTGAAAAATTGGCACATCCTGTGTTTAATGTCCTCTGTTTGCCCATTCATGCTTCATGTTTTCTAATAATCCAGAATTACAAGAGGGACAGCATCTGAGGCTTTTTCTCCACAGCTTGGACTATATGCTGTGTAGATTGGTTGGTTGAGTTTGACAGATTTGCCAAAGGATTAGCACAACAGTCCCTGGTTCAGATTGTAAGGGAGAGTGAAGTGGTTGTTCTCATAGTAACACCAAGGACTCATTACAGTTCATTTCTTCTTTCTTCACATTAAATTAGAGGAATTTTCTCACTGCACTTGACTCTGTAAGCACTTGGTGTATTTACAACAGTCTTACGAGAGAAGAAAATACATTTTCAATGTTGATTCAGTTTTTATTTAATTTACTGTGTTCCTGAACAGACTGATAGCCCTAACACTCACTGCTGTATGTCAGGAAGATCTGCGCAGTAGCAATGGCTCTCCCCGTCTTTGTTCATCCATTCTGCAGCTTTTCCGTTCTTAAACATATTGAAGTGCCTCTGATCACACGTGGACCATTGGAATTAGATCAGTTGGCGCCATCTTGTGGCTTGAGAATGCATTTTGTGTTACACCTGACATTACAAGCTGGTAAAAGCAGTCCCCCAAAGTGTTAAGACGATGTGACATTTGCTATATAGGCACAGAGGTCAAGTCCAACAGGTGTACGTCATTGTGGCTGCCATGTCGTCAGAGAGGTTTGACCTATGACCTGTGCAGAGAAAATCATGCTCCCTTTTCTCCGAAACCTTTCCTTTTCCCTCCAACTGAAGCAGAGAGAAGCTGATGTGTGGTTGAAAAGATGATGTGAGTGCAGAGAGGACCGTTGCGTTCCCATGTCCCACACACACAAGAGATTAATTGGTAAACCAAATGGATTCAAACTTTCAGACACTTTTGAAAGATCAGAGAAGTCCCTTAAATCCTGAGGGGAAAATGACATATGATTGCCTATTCTTTAACCAGCATCTCATGTATATTTGAGCTATTCTATTTCCTAACCTCTGCTCCTTTCCAGTTAATCAGAGTTAGTATATCAGACTTTGGCAGACCCTTTAAACTCTTAATCCAGAGCTTTAACCCATATTGTAGTGCAGACTATTTACTGAGGGGTATTGCAACATTGTCAGTATTATTACATGTTTATGTTGTTACATGTTTGGATGTTTATTTGGCCATTGACTGGCTGATTTTGGAGTGTACAGATGGAAATCAGAGGAATGAAATTAGTAGCTGTTCAATGCACTTTTATTATGGGACATTTCCATTAGCAGCACCATTTTGAGGGCTTCTATCCCTCCACACATGAGAAGGGTGCAACGAAAGAGTGGTGCAAAAATGAAAATAAATAAATAAAAAAATAAATAAAAAACATGGTGTGAAGAAGAAAGAGAGAAAAAGGCCAAGTGTGGTTGGGGACTCCGGCTGGGCCGCTGGAAACACGATATCAGTCAGTGTGTTGGATGGCAGGGATTTGTGGGGACACTCGTACAGAACAGGAGTGTACTGAGTCTTAAATCCTCACCTGTCTGTGTCACCTTGGTGTGTAAAGGTTCTGACACCACCACATTTCTGTCAGATCACGCACTTGGTGTCGACCCGCATGCCTAAAGAAGGGTGCACAAAGTGTGACGTGTTGACTTTAACCTTTAATAGAAAATTGCTTGCAATATGGAACACACCTGTTACACAACAGTTTGTACTGCCTGAGAAAAGTTGCACCCAGTTTTAGAGCTTGTATAATTGAGAGGAGTCAGTATTTTTATGGTTGGAAAAAAAAAAGTATCCTCCACCGAAAGATGTACAGTTGGAAAAAAAAGAAGCATTTTGTACACCATTCTTGATGTTTGAGAGAAGTTAAAAAAGATCATAACATTGAGGAATGTTCCATTTTCCTGTAAATTGTACCTCTATTTATTTGCCTTATTTAGTTTGCTATATTTTGTATGTACACACAGCATTACAACAAAATGTTATATTAAAAATATGAATATGAATAATTAAACTGTGGTCCGTGTATGATGGATAGTTTGAGACTTGTATAAGAATGAAAATCCTTTTTTCCCATTTCTATAATTTTATTTTTGTTTTGTATTTTTTTCTCACCCTGTGTCTTTTGTAGGGTTACAATAAACTTTTGTCCCTTCCAGCTGATTGTTTATTGTCTTCTTCACAATCATTTATTGAGGGGAGGGTTTGGGTAACAGGTGTATTGACACAGAAGGTGGTCAATGGTCTGTGCTGATGAAGGAGGAGAGAATGATGTCTACCTGCTGACACTGTTGGAGGAGAAAATATATATTCATGCTCCAAAGCTGGATTCTGTGGTCTACAATCTGTAATAGTGCTGACACTATTAGTGAATTCATTGATTAATAGCAAATATTGATCCATAGATATAATGGTTTAGCAAGAACAATGTTGCTTATATATGTATATATATATATATATTATATGTATATGTTATATTATTATGATATTTTATAGACCTAACACTAAATAGCTTAATTAAAAAAATATCAATTGCCAAAAATATTCATTATCAATAGCAAAGAACTCCAGAATGGTGTTTGTATTATTTTGTCTTTCTTGTATGTAAATTGAAATGTTTGAAAACAAATGTATCATGAATACTGTCAACATCAGTATAAAATGTTTATTAATAATCAATAATCAGTGCTGATGAGATTAATTATGATAAACATTACAATGAATATCTATTATTTCCTTTGAATGATATTGTGGTGTAGTTCCTCAATGTGACCACTGGGGGGCAGTGAACACTTATCACAATCATCTACAGGTGTCAACAACACACAACAACATCAGTGCTGGTGAACAACTTTTGGAATCAAACAGAACAGCAGTGGAGTTTCTAATATTCTGTCCTTCACTGTGTAGATAGACATTAATGGTACAGAGGCTCATACTGTTTGATTACTACATGTTTATTATGAATACACAAACTATACAACATCACCATAAATCATAAAACACACAATGTGTTTCATATCACAACAAAACAGCCAATATCAGCTCATTCTAATGCAGAGTTTTACCTGAAGACTCAAAGGTTTTAATTTCAACATGACGATTTAGAGAGAAAGACTCATATAACCTGATCTACACAAAGTACTGAGATATGCAGCAACAACTAAAAATGGCAATGTATCACAAAGGTCACTCAAAGCATGTTTTAGGCTGCTATTAAGATATAAGAAATTACCCACTGCTCAACACTAAATTAG